GCTCTGAATCTGAACTACTTGACGCGCTCAGCGGAGTCAACATCTATGAGGGAGGGGAGTAGAAGAATGGAAGTTTGAACCGGAAATCACTGTTTGCTTGATAAGATTAGAAATTTAATTTTACGATGCCGTCTAGAGGAAAAAACTTTAATTTTCAGCTTCGTGGATAATTATAATAAATCGCCCGAGAAAAAATTACTAACTTTCATTTTCCTAGTTTCCATAGCTATAGAACGGATTTTCGAGAGTAATGGGGTAGGCATACACAATATTTGATAACTATGAAAAAGGCAGATGTTTCTAGTTAAAAGAATTGAGACTAGCCGCCAGGACTGTCAGTAAGCGTCCCTTTAAAATTTCAGCTTTCTAGCTTTCCTGGTTCCTAAATTAGTAACTTATCTGCAAAAATTTTCACCGGTTCCTACATAGGAAACATGCAAACCAAGGTGCAAGGTTTTAAATCATTAGAACGGGGGACATACCCTTAAAATTCCAGTCTTTTAGCTTTTCAGATTCCTGAGTTAGCAACTTACCCGGAAAAAATTTTGGCCGGCCCGTATGTGGCCACTACGCGGGTAAGAACGCCTATTTTGGAGATCGAGGCCCGTATGCGCATATATTAAGATTCTACAATTTCAGCTCTGCAGCTTCTGTAGGCCTCGAGACGAAAAATCAGCACAGAAAAACACGCAGACACACACACACACGCACAAGCAGCCCCCCGTCAATATGCGTTTTTTGCACTGCACAGATGCAAAAAAACACATAAAAAATAACGTACTTGCGATCCGATAAGCTCTCTCTCTATTATAATGACAAGCCGGATAGTGCAGCGAAAATTCAGTTTGCAAGGTGGTAAGGTAATTTTCTTCCATAATTAAATCCAAACGTTTGCGAACGGCCTTCAGCTAAATGCAGAACTGTTTAATTTGAGCCTCCGCTGCTGCTTAAATCTTATTTTTTTACTGTTAGATGCTACAGTTTTCACTCCCTGTAAGAGCGCGCCCCTGTCGCTGACTCGAATTTTCATTTTTTTTGCTCAGGGTTAAATAAAAGAAGTAAAAAAAAGAAACTTCAGAATAGCACTGCAGAAACATATCCCTCCACCTTACTTTTTTTCGAAACGCTTAGATGAGAACGCTGCGGCACGGTGCAGCTACGAGTAGCACTGCTGTTCTCTCAAAAGTCGAAGGTTTGATTTCATTAGGAGGATAATTCATTTATTCATTTCGACTATACAATATCATTGTTACATGAGAATAGCTAAAACAGCTACAAGCTTGCTTCTGTGTAACCGATATTCTTACCATCTGGTTGCTGTTGGCACATAATAGGAATATCTGGTAAGGTTCTTTAAAATTTACATGTTCGAAAGGATCAGGTAAATACAGTTTTCGTTTCTTCCCTTAGCTATAAACACAGACAAAGCATAGAATGCGACTAAAAGTGGGAATCATCAGCACAGCCTCCTACTCATCGAGTGGGCAAAAAGTAGGACAAATAAACAGGACAAAGTAATTAATGACATATTGAAGTGTGGAACTTCCGAAAACTTCCTCTCTAGTAGGGTGCGATTACGGAAAACTATTTCGTTCCGCGAGTAAGTCACTGCAGGCAAGTCTGGGCTAATAATGTTCAGTTAGTGACAATTGTGACATTCTGATTTCCTACCTTATATTGGGTGAAATGAAAGTTGACACAAGGCCCAACATCTTGTGTGGTTTTGAGAATTTTGTTCTTAGCATTTTAAGTTAGTAACTAGTTTGCTTAAAAGATATAAAGTTTATCAGCAGTAGTGCTTTTGGTCAAAGATCAAGGCTTGAATCGACTTAATCATTATCAGATTTTTGATTTCGTGCATGTTCGCATTAATCATGTTTAGACTAAGTCTAAGGAGAGGACACATAGAATCCGGGTCCGAAACATT